AGAGAGAGGGGGGGGGAGAGAGAGAGAGAGAGAGAGAGAGAGAGAGAGAGAGAGAGTCTTGAGGTAAATTTCCCTGAGTTAAAATATTGAATGTGTACACATATATATATAAGTAGAAGAGTGAGAGGTATATCATCTTAAATTTAGTTCCCCAAACCATTACACCAAAACTCCGAAGTTATGGTGAGGATCGAGGATTATAGTTTTATATTAATTCTAACACATTTCAGATTAGCCCTTCTAAACTCCAATTCTAGACTGCGCGCGAAATCTATCATTATAGTTCACAAACGAACAGGCTATTCTGATAAACGCCAAGAAAAATATGAGGTCAATTTCAAGATCTCATCAAGGATGACCTAACAAGATGTGCATTCAGATTCTGAATTGGCAATCTGGAAATCAAACTCATCTTTACTTAAAAAAGATTTCCTGCAAGTGAGGTTAATTAGAGGTGAAAAAATTTTTTACATCTCCCTTGAGACCCTACAAAATATCAGGCCCCACCTGCGCCGCAACCCTATCCTATAACTTTGGATTTCCAAGAAGTGAGCAGCACATAAATAAAGCAAAAAAAGACTAAATAAAAAAAAAAAAAAAAAAAACCCCTCATATGACTATATGTAGCAAAAAAAGAAAAAAAAAAAAAAAAAAAAAAAAAAAACCCCTCATATGACTATATGTATATATATTGATTTTAATTAGTGACGAGTCTTTTTAACTCTAAGACAAGGAGGAGACTAAGCACAAGACATTGGGTTACCCTACAAGAGCGCATCCATGTGCTCTTGTTTAACGTATTAAAAGCCAATTGTGATGAGGTTGTGGTCCTAATCTCTACGGTCGTTGTCCTAATCAAGGAAGACATGGGGGAGTAGCCCAAGACAAAAGACAAGCTGAAAACATGTACGCCTCTCTTTGATTATTCCCACACCACAATGTACCAATCTCTATGCTAAAAGTTGAGATATTTAGTTAATAACAACATACAACATGACTAACTTTGTATAGAAATATGCCAGTATACTGCAACGCGTGTACAACCACAGCCCTATGATTTTGAGGTTGACTATACGAACCTTAATCTTTCATTCAATTGTGTTAAAGATCACCTTACTCTGTTCAGTTAGCTATTACGTCGTATCCTTCTTAAATGCTTCGGATCTAGTCTCATATTAATTTTGTTCTAAGTCTCTCCATTCCCGTTAACGATTATCTTATTACTTCTCGTCATCATTACATTTAATTTATAGTACCTATTGTGCATGACTAAGCCATCTACATTAGTAATTCTCTGCTTTGTATATTCTCAACAGGAGCAACCTCCAATTTTACAACTTGCCGTTAAATTTTTTTGGACAAAACGTTCATGCTAACCACCACTCAACTATAGCTATTGATGAACCTACTATTATAAACTCAAAAAAGGTGCTTCTTAACAACCATATGTCATGGATTCAAAAGAGAAAAACAAAATGAGAGAGAGAAGAGAGAAACAAAATGAGAGAGAGAGAGAGAGAGAGAGATATGAAATTAAAAACCACCACCCACCACCATCATGCATGACTCGTGCTCCTCTCCCATCTTCATCATCATCCAAAATTTAAGGATTTTTTTATTTCACAAATAAATCCACCTATACCCATTCTCAACTGATCTATATCCTTCAAATTTCTTCAACTCCCTCTCAACTCTTATTAGCTTTGTTGGTGTGAGTGCTTGAAGCTGCCAGCATGATCTGGTCATCTAAAACTTAGATCAATTAGTTATATTTATGTGAGAAACTTTGTTTTGGTTATCTTTATCATTAGTACTACTACATAGAGTTCTTGACGTCATTTTGATGATTTCTAGCTTGTTTACATATTATTTTATTTGTTGATAGGATTTGAGGTCTAATTGCATAGAATTTTGTAAGCCTGCATTCATTCTCATCAGATCATCTTGCAGCTTCAATCACTCACTTACCAACAAACCATTGTTCTCCATTACTATCTTGAATATTGTATTCATCAACAAAAAAAGAGGTATATACAAGCTAGCTTGCACTCTCCCCATCTCTATTTCTTCTTATTAACCTGATATTAATATAATTTTATCTAATAGATCTTTGTTTCAGGCCAGCTGCTTTCCTCCTTCAGCATAATTTCTCTATTATTTCAGGGAAAATTTGTTCTTCGCTCTGCTAAGTCCATGGATATTATGAAAACATAAGTGGGTATCTAAGGTAAGTGCTCAATTCCTCTCTGGAAATGGTAAATTTTCAGTATATATCCTTATTAAAGTTAACAGATATCCGCATCTATAAACCACTTTTAATTTCCTTTAAAAAACTCAATTCATTATATTTCATTTTTGATGCAATAGCAGTTACTTTCATAATACTTAATTCTTTTATTTTATGTTTTTTGAGTAACATTTATTTTTATTTTATGCTAAAAGATCAGTGCGGTGAATGATATATACAAACCACTGGTCTATAACAAGTTGCATTTAATTAAAAAAATATAAAGGGAACAAAGACTTTATTTCTTAATAAAATTACATTTTGTGCATCTCATGCATTAGCCTTTAATAGTAGCTATGGAAAGCCAATACTATATATCTTTCCAAAGTTTCAATTTAACCCTCGGCTAGGCGTGGGTTTTGATTTCTGGATTTTGAATATTTTCCACAAAATAATATACACTATATTTCAAGTTAAGGCAAGCAAAGCAACCCAGTAAATGAAAATTTATTATTCTGTATTTTTTATCAGACATAGAACTAAACTTGGGCTTTATATTTACAAAAAATTAATTGATCTTAACTATGATCGATTATACACTTTACTTAATTAACCATTTGGGATTATCATCAAGAAATTTTGACACATTTATACATGTCTAAATAAATTAATGCTATCTCGATTCTACTTAATATATATTGTCCAAGTTATGCAAATTCTTGCTGTCAAAACCAGCTCATAGCAATCTTTTTTCAGGTTTATAAGGCCATTATTTTCTTCTTGAAAACTTTTATATATTTTGTGAAAGCTTAGAAGGTTACACATGAATTTTTCTCGGAAAAATATTAATTCTTTATCAACCCGTGTCTTCAATTTTGTGAATGATGATGGAAATACCAAGGTATCAACCCAAGCTTTAAAGGCAAAAGCCCCTCAATTTAAAGCTTTCATATGCTAGTATTATAATAGTGGTAGTACAGACAAAAAAAGAGCTAATTTGTATTATCCTGCTTAATTTATAGAAGCAAATACCATATATATTAATTCTGTCTCCCAACTTTTCACATTCAATAATTGATTACAATCTCATTTCATGTTCAAAATACAAGATAGTCACCTTTATCGATCTGCATGAGAAAGATGAAGAAATTAATAATAATAATAATATGAAGGCAATCATTTGAGCCACATAATAATTTTATCATGATTGATTCATATCTTATATTATGGACGAAAATATCATAATCACATACGAATAAGACGATAGTTTTTTTTTTTCATATTCGCATTAAACATGAGTGAGGCCATACACACATAACATATCATGCTCTTCTATTTGTGTGTCTAGCTTAGGACATACATGGGCATGTGGTAGGAGAAAAGCAATAATGTGGATGATACAAAAATTATACTTAACTCTCATCACCATGTGCATTAATCCTCACTTGCCTCCAAAAGCCAATGCAAAATATACAAAGGCCTTAGAATCTAGCTCCTAACAAAAGATTTTTATAAGATCTTCATGTTGGTATCTTAATTGTGATATTATATATGTATTGTTTTCCATCAACATGTCTTCTTGTAGCTCATGACCTCTCACCTCACCCTCCATGTGATTTTGGTGCAATCAAGAAAATGACACTCTTAGTATCATTTGACTTTAGGTACTGTAATAGTATGGAAATGTACATTATTGGAGGAAAGTTACTATTTCATTTTTTCCAATCCGTTGACGCATTGGAAAATAATTTTCTTTTCATTTATTGTACATGTTGCCCACATCATGATGTTTAAGGATGTTTGGTTATCAATTAAAATGAACCGCATTTGATTTCATTGGTTAGAATAGATTGGAGCAAAGATGTACATTAGTCTTTTTCTAAAAAAAACAGTGAAGCGTTTCCTTGAAAATGAATTACTAGTAAATTGTTTGGGATGGCCGTAAAATTCAAAGAATTAAAGCAAAGATCAAACTGTGTAATTAGAACCCCCAAACAAGATTATACTCGTTAATAAAACCCCATAACAAGCTGATTAGAATTATCATCATGTAAGCTTACAATATTCTTTTGACGCAATCAATCTTAGTAGACTTTTGGGTCTTTCTTGACGTGTAATATTTTCATACACATCCATTATGGAAATTTCTAGATACGATTATACTCAACTTTCTTGACATGTAATATTTTCTGTCTATATACTGATTTATGTTTGGGTTTATTTGACATAACATGTTCTCTCGTATAAGCTTGTTGTTAATCAATGTCAAAGATACACTAATTGGGATGACATTAACAATAATTATCTTTACAAAAAGCAAGAGATCACTTCTAATATTGTAACCCATATATATATCATTTTTCTTCTCACTATGATTATGTTGGCCAAGTAGTCCAATGGATGTCTCTTCTAAGTGCCTAAGGTTATAGGCTTTACGCATGCATTTCCATTACTTTGATGCTTCACTTTGCGAATTTCTCTCAATCACCAAAATCACTTAATTGATTAAGTATATAATAATTGATATTGGTAGGCTGCCTTTGTAAATTGTAACCACAAAAAAAAAAAACTAATTAATGGTGCCTAACCTTTATTCTTCTTTTAATTCAAGTCAAAAAGTAATTACAGTCGGGATTTTTGTGTTGGCCGACAAATTTGGGAAATTTTATGATATTTTTTGTGGTTCTAGAAGGTAAACCTAATCATTAGCAATAAACACGTACCAGCCGACAAACATTTTGTGAGACATAAAAGGGGAAATTCTTAAAGGTCGCAGGCGCAATTATTAGCTATATTGTCATAAATATATAGGAGAGCCAAAACCTTTTTATTTTGAGCTGCGCTCTCATAATAAAAGGAGAAAAAGAGGAGTAAAAAAGAAGAAGAAGAAGCACACGCCTTACATTATTTACATAAGAAAATCAAATGTTTTCTAGCACTTGGCTCCAATCATAAGTCGATGATGAGTTCTTCAGTAGCCACTTTGCTTCAATTCCAAACTGGTGCGCTTGGCGACGTCATTTTCCTGACCAAATCATCTCAGTCGATTCTTTCTTATTTTATTCTCAATTTATCTAACCCCACCCCCATAGAGATGTATTCGATTTCTTATCGTATACCTTAGCATATGCTCACAAATCCGTCATAACATTTTAATTTTTGCTACATTATTATACAAGTTCCAAATCCTAAGAAAGGGACCATCATGTTGGTTTTTGGCACGTGCCCTCGTCTTTTACCATGAACCCTCCTCTTAAACACGTATAGCTTTAAAACCCATTGGCAAGTTGATCCAAATTACTCCGCATGTATTATAAACTGACATCTCAATTTTAAACCAAAGACTCCAAAGAAGAACATAAACACAACAAATCAGCAACTTGATGAACATAACAAAAGAGTTTCAAGCAAAGAATAGCCTATGATCCCAAGTTAGATATACTTCTCTCATTCTTCTGAACTTTAATGTACAAAAGGATAAACAAGATCCACTCTAAACATAGTCAGAAGTTCAAAAGAAACTATCAAACCGTTTAAATTACTGACCTCAGAATGCTCCAACCCTCGTATTTTTCATAATGAGCTCTTCGTTTCGGTGAATCACTGCCTACACTGGAGGAGGCTCGGACCGCTGCCTTTTAGGCTCTCGGTCCCCCAGCCTCAAAGAAACGCACAGGTTTTCTTCCTCGTCATCTGAATTCTTCAATGTCGATAGATTCTTCAGCTCAGGGTTCTCTTCTTGACTTCGATGAACTGGAGACATACTGATAAAACTATGCTCTTCAACTTTGTTATTGACATCAACCGCATCCATTTGAAACTCCATATGAGAGCCTGCACCGTTAGCAGCTACATCACGAGGAAGTTCTTGGATGTTGATGCCTAGAGGCTCGTAAGTTTCTTCCGTGTTTTCCTTCTCCAGAGGGCATAAATTAGGGGACGATTCTCCAACAGTTGAGTCAGCAGCAGCTAAAGCCATTCGTTGTTCTTGAATTGCCTCTATAATTATGAAAATTTAAAGGAACGTCTTGGAGAAATCAAGAATATGAAAATTACAGAAAATGAGAAGGGAGTAACGATTGAAGGCAATAATGAAGGTATAAAAATTAGAAAAAGACCACTGTCGATAATCAACATGATATCAGGATGAATGGGATATAGGAATGCCCTGCCTTAAAATCAAAATAATAGCCTACTCGCTTTACTTCAGCATTTACTCTTTTTAAAGGAAAAAGGGTCGGCGAATTTCATGGATATCGGGCAAAGTTTTCATCTGGAATTGGAAAATTCCAGATAAATATATGGCAATTCTTTTCATGAAAAGATACAATTCAAAATAACATACTTAATGAAATTATATTGAAAGAATAGATTACTGAATGTTATTAGACCAGTGAAAAAAATATATAATTAATCATTATAGTTATCTGTTGCATATTTATTCTTCATGGCATGCAAAGATCCCTCAATTTTCATGAATTTTAATATAGTTTGCAACATTCAGCTAAAAGAAGTTCATAATCAATTCTTAGATCAACTGTGAGAAACTTTTGAGTAAATTAAGAAAGAAAAAACCTTGAAGCCCTTCATTGGTTGTGATAATATCCAGCTCCAAAAGATCAATAAGGCGACCAAGATCAACTCCACTAGTCCAATTCTCTGGACTGTGACCACTTTTAAGCTTCAACCTCCCTCGATTCGCTGTACCGCCCCATATAATCCCTATTGGCTGAGGCTTCTCATCATCTTGCGAAGTTAAAACAATAAGACTTCCACTATCACCTTCAAGATCAAAAGTCTCATGGTTCTCTCCCACAACGAGGTAATCAGTAAAGAAACATATCCCTTTCTCATCATTGTATTCGAGAGCATAAGCCATTACAGTTCCAGTAGTGAGACCTGAGCTTCTTCCAACTTTCACAACTTGCCTCCCAACAAGGCTATTGATTGGAGATTGTAAGTCTATGACTTTAATATCTCCAATCTCGCCGACTCCTTTCACTAAAGTGGTGACAGTGGACATGTCAAAGTCATCAGCAAAAGGGATGAATGCTCCATCAGCTCGAACAAAGGTCTCTTCATGTGGATCAAAGGCAAAATATATGTTTTTGGATCAACGGATTTTTCGATATGTTAAATAGGAGAAACCCCATGAGATTGAAACAGATGGTTAAACTTGATAGATTTTGCACCATAATAGATTATGCATTATTTGATAATGTCAGTATACTTGCATTCTCACGTGGCTAAAATATTGCAGTGGTGGTGGTGGTGGTGGTGGTGGCAACGAGGATAAAGGTAAAATTATTAGAGGGATGAATTTATAAATTATAAGGAAATTTGAACTAGTTAATTAAACTGTAATCTATTACTGCCTACAGTTTCAATTCTAGGGAAGCATTTAATAGGATCCAAGTATGTTGAGACCTCTAGGACGCTTTTCCTATAGTAGGGCAAACTCCATAACTTCACCCAAATCAATTTATTGCTTTCAACTAAAGCATAATAGGAATGAATAAAAAATACCCCTCCAAAATCTCACTACTTTTCCTCTAAATACGTAAGCCACTAGAAACAGATGGAATTTGATCATGCATGAACTATCATGACATGAACGAAGCTGTTACTTCAGAAAATAGCAGTTTTCAGTCAATTCTAAAAACTGAAACATGCCATAGGTTCTAAATTCAGATTTAATGGAGATGGTATTGTAATTTTTCTCTTTTATTTTGGATGCCATCTACCATTATTATTATTTTATAAGATGATATAGGGCGTCACCTGGGTTTGTTCCAGCATAAATACCATACCAGAGATCATCGGTAATAAAAGATGTTGCCCTTTCAACAGCACCGAGATAAACTCCAGGTCCGAGGTTGGATGGCAAAGGATGAAACATCTTCTGGTTAGGATAATCCAAATCAACTGCCACATGCCTGTTTGTAAGAAAACCAACTTGTTTGTTCCCTGTTCGACTCTTGACAATGGCACCTAAGGTTCCATAAGTTTCTTGACTAGCCACCTATATTTAAAAGCAAAGTTGTAAGAGTTGGAAATTGAAGGAGTTAGACTGCAACAAACTAACAAACAAGCAAAAAAGGGCCTAGATGGGTATATTTGTGATTCAAAGATATTATAAGGCCTGATCTGTTCAGGATCATGAGGAAAGAACTTACTTGTGCATGTTCACATTTTACAGGTGTTAAAAGACTTTTACTTGGTGAATCTCCAGTCAGTTAAAAATGGTGGCAAGCAACTGTTATTCGCACAAAAAAATTGTAACCTTACTATGAACCAGCATGTAAAACTGGCCATACGAAAAAGTTGTAACTTGTACCCATCAATACATGCAGAATAATCCAATGCCACTGATTTATCAACTTTAACTAACGGGCAATGCAGTATAGATATTATTGACAATTCATGTAGATCTCAAGTTATACTAGAGAGAGGATATCCATACAAGAATTATACGTAAGATTTCAAAATTACCTGAGAACCTGAACCTATACATGGATCGCTACCACGTAAGCCATCCACAAGCTCAGTGTACAGTTGTTCTTTAGGAGTCTGTGCTGGTGCTCCGTAGTATGAGAACTCTACAACATCTACATCGCACCACACACCCCCCGGGCCCTATTCCGAAATAAAGAGAAAACAAAATAACTAAATCAGCATAGGTAATATTTTAACCATAGGATAGAGAAAAGTGGCAGTACCAAAAGGTGATTAATTATGTTCTCAAGTATTTGGCAAGTTGAACATAAGTTTATCCGCTTTTGCTATAGGCAAAGACAAACATGTATTTTTGCTTTATTTTTCTCCTGGTCTATCTTTTTTGCCATCATCATTCATATAAATAATTAGTAGAAATGAAGAATGGCTTACAATTCGAAATAAAAAATTGGTGCTACCTCGAGGGCAGTAGGCAAGCATTGGGCATTGTTAAGCCATTTCCGATTAACCTTCCTCGCAACAAAAACAAGAATGGCCGGTATATCAGTCAAAGTGCCCTTCCTTATTCGAAACCCTATCGCTGTTCCAAGACTAAAACGACGCAAAATCTTGCTATGGAACGCTCTTATAGTCATCAAATCAAGCAATGTCGTGGCTTGCTGTCCTGTTGGCAACCTTCCAAGATTTCCCGGCAGTACTCCCTTCTGAAGGTTCATAAAATAGTTTGCTCGGCCTTCAGCTGCACCATGCAATAGAGTAGAGGTTGGCCATGAAAAATACGCAGCATTGCTCTCAGGATGTTGACCAGCCGATGCATAAGGTTGAAGAGATGGGCTAGATTGAAGATTTGGGCAGCCACATATGTTTCTTTCCATGTCCAATGCTGATTCTTGAGATTGTGTTGAGCTCGATTGGTTCCCTCTTATATCAGAGTGCCTCCTCATGCTGGTTATATACTAGGCCTACACTTTAAGTGTTGAACTCTTGTAAATTTTAATGCTAAATGAAACCTAGAACGAGAATTAAGTATAAAAGGAACTAAGATACAATAGTTTTTTGGGAATTCTGTATTTTTGTGCAAAGTTGGAGGAGGAGAATTATATGAAGTAAATTATTTTCTGATACCAGAGAGAACAGACATTGAAAAATGAACTATAACTTCTAGTATTCATAAAAAGATAAGGAAACACGCTCTGAAACGTCCATGCATTGAAGATGAAGATACTTTTGAAGGGTAAAATAAAATCCCTTTTTTGTGGGGGTGGGTGTGTATGTCTTTGTGTCTGTGTACGTGGTGATAATGGTGGGAAACAGCAAAGATGCAAAATTTTCAGCTCCAAGCAAAACAAGTTTATGAGGGCAGTGAATGCAACAAAGGAATGAATATATGAAAGAAAATTAAGTTACATACTACGACTAACTTTGCCCATAGTTCACGGAGAGAAGCACACAGAAAAGCATTGTTGGAAAGTTTGGTGAATAGTTTACCACCATCATAAAATGTATGCAAATAAAAAAACAGTTTTTTCCGTGACAAATCTTATGTTTTGTCCATTTTGATTCAAAATAAAATGCCTAAAGGTCTGATGCCAGTAACAAGCAAGCAAGAAACAGAAATAAATCAATGGATTAGAAAAGGCCATGAACAATTTACCTTCATGCCTTATGAGAAAAAGAATGTGAAACCAACGCTTTCGAGCACAGGAAAATATACACCAGTCAGAATGAAGAAGAAACGATGATTTAAGAGGAATTCAAGGTATAATAGGCATTTGCCTTTGAGTAAATGGCTTTCACAATAAGCAAGAAGACAATAGGAAAAACAAAATGCTATATTTTCCAGCACCTAAGAGAGCAAATAATAAGAAAAATGCTTGCTCCCCTAAGGAGTAGGGGGGAAATTGCAGAACTCAGATGTCATGTGTTTATGTCCACATTCTGTAACTGTAAGTGTTTGACACAGGAACCTTCCAAACAATTAAGATGGGGATTTGGTTATATTCTATCTAATTTACTACATAGACGTGTATATGCACATATGCAATGCCACTGTAGCATATAGTAAAGTCTCTGAAAAAGATTTTGTATATGCACTAAGCGGTCCTTAATTCGACATGGCGGTATTATTTGAGATCATAAGAAGAGTTCTGCAAAGAAAAATTATTCACCAATACATAATAGTTAACAGAGTAAAGCAAATAGTCTCAAATACAACAAATTGGTATCAAACCCCAACAAGGAATACAAAGTCGGAAAACATAAGACCACTAATCAAAGAGAAAAGAAATTTACCTGAATTGCATGATAAATATCATTGATTTTATCCATTTTAAGACCATGATAACAAAAAGTACAAGTTTGCAGGATGGTGGGAAGGACTAAAAGGAAGAAACCCAGTAATCAAGGCAATGAATCATGAAAAATTAAAAAAAGAGTTTCATACTACAAAAAATTCAGAAGAAAGGAAAGATAAGAAGGAGATTCTTAAAGAGATGAAGAGGGAGAGGCTTATCAATTTATGAAGTATCAAGAAGTGGGCTTCTCTTTTAGAACACTCACATAAAATCAGAATCAACAAATATCAAAACCATCCCCTATTACTTTCCCAAAACTCGCAGGAAAGGTTAAAAGTAGGAAAGCTGGCTACAGTATACAGACCCTTTATATAATAGCAAACCTTTGCCCAATCTAACAACATGGGCAATCTTAAAAAATCAAAATTTTTAGAAGAATTGAAAGAAAAGAGAGAGGTGAAGAGAACTCACCAAGCCATGGGGGGACAATCGTAGAGGATTTTCTTCAAGAGCTCCAAAGGTGATTATAAGCTCTTGATGGGTTATCCATTATAAAAATCGGAGAAGGAATCTTCACTGTTGGAGAGCAACAGACAGCAGCCAGCTTGTGGCGATCCTCTGCAGTGGGGAGCTTCAGAGGAGGATGAGGGCTTCAATGAACTTAGAGCAAGTGCAGCAAGCTCCCAGTTGGGAGTCCTAGTCAGCATGCTCTCAAGAGCTCTCAAGCCATCTAGAATAAAAAAATTAATAAATTATGTCTTGGGAGGCACTCTTTCTTTTATGGAGCTCCAACAAGCTCCTAGTTAGGAGCGCCAACAATATCAAAAAAAACCCTCTTCTATTTTAATATTTTACTCATTACTTTTAATTATATTTAAACCTCTTGTATTTTATTTCTAACCGTTGGATACGGCCTTCGAGGGAGCGCACACAAAATTCGAGGTAACCCACGGTCTTCGAGGGAGCGCACACGCTCTTCGAGGTATCCCACGGTCTTCGAGGGAACGCACACGGTCTTCGAGATAACCCGCGGTCTTCGAGGGAACGCACACGGTCTTCGAGGTAACCCGCGGTCTTCGAGGGAACGCACACGGTCTTCGTACACGATCTTCGAGGTAACCTGCGGTCTTCGAGGTTGGGCACGAAGTTCGAGGTATCGCAAACTTTGACCGTCAACCGACTGATGCCTATAAAATTCGACGGCTTCTCTCCTCAACCCATCATCTCCCAGAATAAAATGTCTAGCTCATCTAGCTCTAGCGATGATGAAATGATAAAGACGTTCTTTCTTATGGGAGCTGATGTCGTTGAGGAAGAAGAACAAGAGAAATGTTCAGCTTCGGTTCAACACAAACGACGTATCGTGCTCCATCGGCTTAAGTAACGGGTTGGGTTTGGGTTTTGGGTTCGGGTTTTAGTATTTGGGCTTGATTGGGTTGGGTTTTTTTGGTTTTTTTTATTTTCTTTTCTAAAACTAGGCGGCCCGCCTAAGCGGACCGCCTAGCCCTAGGTGGGCCGCCTAGGCGGGCCGGCCGCTCTAGCCAAATCTAGGCAGAAATTGGTCCGCATCCGTCTAGCCGTCCACCTAGGCCGCTTTTTAAAACACTGGAGTCACCTGAACATGATGATAGGTAAAGGACCTTCTCACAGGTTCTACACAGTGCTATTTACTTTATCTGGAAATTTCAATCAAAAGTTTGCTGAATTCTAGTTGTAAGTTGTCTTCGTGCTATTTCTTTAGGTTGTTTGCTGGTAATGATTGCAGACACTGGTTCAATACAGATTACAGACAGATGCCCTGTTATTCTTGTATTTTGCGAAATTGGAGTATTGATTTGTACCAAGAACAGCGTTAAATGAAAGATTGTTAACAAGACATTATTATGAATTATTTTTGTATATTCCTATGACTATGATAGTGTTATTGGATAAAATGAAGGATAGATTGCCGAGAATGATGCATATTTCGTGGTGTTGGATTATGTTTTCTGCTCTAACATTATGCCTCTCATAGTTGTAATAACCAGACTTGCTGTTTTGATAATATAACTATTTTTCTGGCTCTTGAACAACTTCTATCCTTCTTTTGTCTATAGGTATCTGTATGTCCAACTTGTGTTGGTGAAGGTGAAATCATTTCCGAGTATTGTCGGAAGTGTGCTGGTGAAGGGAGAATTCGTGTCAAAAAAGATATTAAAGTGAAAATACCTCCTGGTGTTAGTAAAGGGAGCACACTTCGTGTTCGGGGTGAAGGTGATGCTGGACCTAAAGGGTATGTTAGTAACTTGAAAATTCGCAAGTACTTAACTTGAGTTCTGTTTCTATAAATTTAAAAGATGCAGTTATCTCTGCTACATATCAAAATATATACACACTCAAGTTTGAGTTCAGTTAGGCTTTTCTTAATTTCTCTCATAGCATCCTTGTTATATTCATGTGTTTAGAAATTTCTCTTATCAGTCATTTTTAAATAAAAACTGTCTACAAATAATTCTTTGCATCAGCTTGTCCTTATCATTCATTGAATTAGCATGAAAGGTGTATCTTGGTCATGTTTATCTAGTCCTTTACAGGCTTAGTACATTTCAACTTTCATTTTTGTTCTCAACCAATACAGTTTGCAAAGCTACTTCGTATGTTTGTCCTGCTTAATTTTAGATGGTGCTGCCACTTGTTTCCTATATTAAAGTTTAACAGTTGGTAAAAAGTAAATTGCATCTCTTTCATGGTTAAGAAGATATCTGCATTCTTTCCTTCAGTAAAATCATTGTGTCCTTATGATCTTATTATTGTACATAATTTAGATATTTGATTCTAATACTAACTATTGATCACTTCATATTCATTTAAAACACTTCTCATGGTTTTGATGCTAGGGGACCTCCAGGAGATCTTTATGTGTGCCTTGAGGTGGAAGAGATACCAGAGATACAAAGAGATGGCATCAATTTACGTTCAACTGTTTCCATAGACTACATTGAAGCGATCTTGGGTTCGGTTGTTAAGGTGAAATGCTGACTTCTCCTTTTCTTTCTTCACTTGTATACATGGAAAATCTGAACCAGCCCATCCTTCAACATGGTTTATTGTTTCATACCTATCACTGCAGTTGCTAGAGTTCTTGACACATAAGCTTTAAGTGGTACAATGAAGGCCATCTATCACTCCATAGATTTGTAACTTCCATCCTTTTAATTTGACAAACAAATGTCTTAATTGTACACTGAAACTGCAGGAGTGATATCATAGCATAATTGTGCACCCTTTAATTTAAAATCGTACCAGCAGTCTTTTTTGTAAGAATTGTCAATTGAATACATGCATGTTATTTTAGGCTTAATTGCAGATAAATACCCTATAGTTTCACAAAAAAGCACTTGTATACCCTAAGTTACAACACACAGCAAATATATATGCTGACTTGTGAAAAATGTGCAGGTTGCTACCTTCTGTTAACCAGCAGTGGGAATATTTTTTTAAATATTCCCACGTGCTAGTCACATGTCTATTTTAAATGCCATTTACCCTCATTGATTGTATTAATTACAACTTTACCTGATATGGGGGGTTATTTTCAAAGAAAGCAATCTCGTCCTTTTCGGTAAATTTTAACTGTGTTTATCAAATTCAGACGGTGGATAACTCATGGTATATATTTGCTCCGTTATGCAACTTAGTGTATGTAAGTGATTTTATGTGAAACTATAGGGTATTTATGTGCAAAGAAGCCTATTTTTAATAAACATCTTCCTGGGGTGACAATTTTAAGGTAATTTCCCATACAATGACTTCATTTCATCAATCCATATGCAGTTAAGCCTTGCACTTTTAAGAGGGAAGCTCCCTCCTTTTACCAAATTGCTTACTTTAATTTATTTGCAGTTGATAGTTTTTCCATGGAAAAAAGCTCTTTGATGACAAAGTTCACATATGGGAGTCAACTCTAGTTTTCAGTCCCTCTCTGTCTAATTCCAATTGTCACTTTAAGTTTTTTTATGTTGTAATCCTATTGATTTTTATTTGTTGCAAAAGCTTGAATTAAACAGGTGAAGACAGTTGATGGATCTAGTGAACTTCAAATACCACCTGGTACTCAACCTGGGGACGTGGTTGTTCTAGCAAAGCGAGGTGTCCCGAAACTAAACAAGCCATCTATACGTGGTGATCATTTGTTCACTATTAAGGTCTCTATACCAAAACGTATCAGGTGTGCTACAGATCGTCCCATTGCCAAATATCAAACATTGGGTTCTTTTAATATTAGTCCTTGATATCTTTAGTATTTAAAAATCAGTCCCTCTAATCACTGAAATTGCTATTAGATCCTTCAATTCCTTTGCATCGAAATTAGTACCTCAAATCATTGAAGTTGCTATTAGATTCCTCTATCCTTTTAAGTTGTTTCGAATTGACCTCTCTGATCAAGATTGGCAGTCGCAAGTTATAAGAATTGGGGACCTTATCGCAATTTCAATAATTTGAGGGACTAATTGCAAAAATTAAATATTAAGGGACTAATAAACATATTAGTTGCTTTGAAGTCTATGATTGGTAAACATATTAGTTTCTCTTAATTTGAATGATATTTGTTGAAACTTTAGCTTCTACCTTGATAATTTCGTCCAACTTGAAATATCCTACTTGTGATAGCCCATCAAAGTTCTTCTCTTAATTTTGTTTCCCCTTACTTCCTCCTGCAGTGGAAAAGAACGTGAACTTCTTGAAGAACTTGCATATTTGAACGATAAGTCAGTGACACGCGTACGTCCTCGTCACAACACCGAACCACAAAGTAAGAACCTGTGCCCCGTAATTTAGGATAATGCATTATTCCTAGTAACTTATATGCCCCTCTTGACTTAGCACTAGTGTATCGTGAAAAGAATTCACCAATGGGTACAGTGATTATTCCCAGTTGTCTGATTGTGTTATATTCTGTTTTTTCTGCAGTTAAAAGAGCAGAAAGTCAAACGAACGTCGAGAAAGAAGATCCTGAAAAGCCTAAGGAAGAAAATGACTTGTGGAAGCAGCTAAAAGACTTGGCTGGGTAAATACTGATCTATAGAACATTTTGAACTACTTTTTGAAGAAACCAGTTAGTAAATTCTGATTTCTGAAGTACTTTTGTTAGTCATTTGAAAGTTACTAGTATGCTGTTAAGAGTGCTGGATCAATGAGTGATGGTTATTTTTGCAGGTCTGCTGCAAACGGAGTGCTGAAATGGCTTAACGACAACCTTTGATTCAAGATTAAGATTCTCGCAATTTTTGATCATATCATTCTGTGCAATTGGGCCAACAATTCTTTTTTTTTTTTTTTTTTGAACTTTTCCCATTCTTATTGCAATTAGGCCAGATGCCTAATTTCGTAGGGTGTTTCTTTATATGCTCTTGTAAAATTAGTTATACATAAAAGCAGTGTGTATGTGCTTTGGCAGAGGAAATTAAAAAAAAATCAAAATTTTCAGGCTCTCTGTGAATATAAGCAAATGTATGATGTTTTCCAAGGAAGCGAAAGGTAATCTTTTTCATGCTACTACAACCAAGAACGCAGGGAGAAGTACCAAGCATCCCTTCGCTCTTGCCAAGTACATTCTCTTCGTTCTACTGCTTAGTTTGATGAGGAGGGAAGGTGAGGCGAGGCTATAGACACAATATGGATTTGTGTTTGGTAGGAAGTTTTCAGTGAGGTGAGGTAGGGGTAACAGAAGGATAATCTAAAATGAATTAAAAAGCCTAAAACAAATTAAAAAGTCGGTGAAAAATTCCTCCAAATTAGAAGGACAAAAGGACTCAAGTCAAGAGAAGAATCTCCCTTTTTCTGTCCTCCAAATATGAAGGTTTTAAAAGGATTTATATCGCTTCATCTCATTGTACCTTTCCTCACGAACATCTTCCCTCCAACCAAATAATTTTTAAGTGCTTAGTTCACGTTGATTGTCAAATATTCATTTATATGTGTGTAAGTGTATATACGCACACATGCATACATACATACATTTAAGACCAATAAATTTTTAGTCTGTAGTTCACAGTACCAAACCCATAGCTCAATATATGTATCTATGGCAAATTTCAAGAGACGAACAACGCTACTAACATGCTTTGGATCCACCGCGCTACTCTCATCCCCTTTAAGAGCATGGGCAGCGAGCTCTCATCTCCGCTCTCAAGTCCGACGTGGCCTCGGTCTCCGAAAAATCCCCTTCCAACAGCCTCCGAAGCCCTCCCAAGCTTCGCTCTCAGGTCCGACGTGGCGGCCACCAGCTTCGGAGCTCCCAAGCGCTCCACAAATTTGTGGAGCGCTTGGGAGCTCCGAAGCTGGTGGCCGCCACGTCGGACCTGAGAGCGAAGCTTGGGAGGGCTTCGGAGGCTGTTGGAAGGGGATTTTTCGGAGACCGAGGCCACGTCGGACTTGAGAGCGGAGATGAGAGCTCGCTGCCCATGCTCTTAAGCCGAAGGCATGACTTCGCACAAAGAAAAGGCTAAATTTGCAATTAACTACCACAAAGTTTTCCCATTTTGCCACTTGCGTACCACAAATTGCATCTTGTGCCAGGAAACTATCATCTTTGTCGAAAGATCCTCGCTTGGGGCTTATTCACAAGTTTCACAATGCGAGAGGGGCGTTTGGTAACTTGGATAAGTTGGCCCTAGCGCTACTAGCACTGTTGAAAAGACCAACTCAAAATTGAAGATTTGGAGGTACGTTTGCAATTATGAAGATGTGCGGGTAAATATGCAATTATGAAAGGTGTGGGTGGGGTATACGAATTGTTTTGAATCCTTGGTATCCAAAGAACCAAAAAGAATACATTCTGATAAACTCAGACATTAACTCTCCCTTACACCCGATCACAATACAAAACAAAATTTGGGCATTCAATTAAAACTGCCAGCAAAAAGATCATCTCCTTGATTTCTTCTTGAACGAGTTTGATTTCTTTTGGTAATTTGCATATGTTTCACCATCCTCGTCACCATCGTCATCCCCTCCTTTTCTCCTCCTCTTGTTTCCTGAACTTTCCTTGGCGGCCTACATAAAAATAAAATGAAGAGCATAATTAGCAAAAAAAAAATTGCTCCAACACATAAATAATAAACAATTTCTGAGCAGGGTTAACAGTTGATAATCCCCCTAACGCTGGGAAGTAGTCATTTAGTAAGCCCTATACTATTTTATTAATTTAGCACTCACACCCAGATCTCTTGCTGCATTATTTCTCCCACAGCAGTCATGTGGGAATCACATAATGATATGTCACCTTTTCTGTTCATAGTTTAACTGAAAAGGAAAAAAAACTAAATTTTCCTCCAAATTGAGGGTAAAAATGAAACATTGTCTGAAGTTTGGGGTTAAGTACTAATAAGATAGTTTAAGGGGGCATATCTGCAATTAATCCTTATAAATAAGATATTGAAGAGAGAAGTATATACCATAATGGCTCGCCTTTTTGCCTCGGACACCGACTCCGAAAGCATAAGAACTTCCTCCTCCTTAGAATCGAATTCTGGCAGCTTCTTATCTACAATACAAAGATTTATGCAGGTATTATTATCTGGTCCAGTGCGGCTATCTCTATTGTTGAAAGATGAAGAGGACGTAATGATGCTTACTGAGAAGCTTCTCAATTTGCAGATACCATTCAGCATCGTATTGATTGACTAACGAAACAGCAATCCCAGATCGGCCTGCACGAGCTGTTCTCCCAATACGATGGAAATAATCCTATATATAATACAAACAATACTTGGTCAAAAAATATAACGCTGAAAACAAAAGTTCATTAACAAATAGCAAGCTAATTACAGTCAGATGTTGCACCTAGAGTCGTAGACTAATCATCTCAGGAGAATGACTTATTGATTGAGTGATCATAAACAAAGCCTGGTTAAAACACTAAAAATAATAAGTCAATACCATGGCTTAAAATTCTGAAACTACCATGATTGTTCTTCACTTGGATAAAAACCTCCACGAACTTGCTTTTTATAAAAACTACACTTCAGATGTTAAAAAGACGTAAAAGGAACATCATAATTACATCTCATGCATCAACCAAACTCAGTCAATAAAAAACGAACGGTTTAATTTAAGGAAAAAGAATACCACCTAAAAAATTATGGCAGGACCAGTAAAATATTCAAGATAATTGTTTTAATGTGGTTCGTTTGCACATAATCATGTCAGTAAACCAGGATGATAGATGCCCAACAGAGTTCAACCGGATTATAAATCAAAAAGGAAAAGGAAAAAGATAAGAAAAGATCAGCACAAAAACATCCACAAACCTTGGAGTTGCTGGGAATATCATAGTTAATAACGAGATCCACTGAAGGAATGTCGAGACCTCTGCTAGCCACATCCGTGCATACAAGGATGTCAGCCTGTCCAGCCTTGAATATGTTCAAAGCTCCTAACCGCTTTTGCTGTAAATAAAAGTGAACATAAACATAAAATAAATGAGAAATTGCTGTAAATTATAAGCTTAAGTGCTTAACAGTTAAAAATCTCACTGCAACTGAAAATGAAATGGAAGAGGTGAAAAATAGCCACTAAAAATTTTCAACTAAGCATCCTTTAAAAGATATATTACCTGAGTCATCTGACCACTGATTGGAATGGCTTTAAAACCTAGTTCCCTGAGTTGCAGGGCAAGTATTCGTGTTGTTTCACATGTGCGAGTGAAAACCATAGATGTACATCCAGTCATCTTAGTCAGGATGTATACAAGGTAGCAATCCTGTGAAAATATAAATTACCTCAGGGATTGACGCATAAAAGAGTCAAACATAATAAATCAGTTTGAAGGAGGTGTGATGCTGGGAAATATTCACTGTTCAACATTTTTCTCGAGAAAAAGAAATTAAACATAGATGATTCCACACATTTTTCATCAAAAGTGCAACGTTAACATCAAATCAGAAATTTCTTGTTTATAGCTATCCTATTTTTTCTGGTTAACAATGATGCTATTTTATCTAAGCTACTAATTAGCAGATAATTGAGGCAAATATTGGCACAAATATTAGATAAGACAGGCATGACCATCAACAAAGGTAAAGAGATTTTTCTATATTGCAGCAATGAAACTTGATAAAATAAATTGACAAGGAGGATAATGCAAAAAATACAAAGATATGAGGTTAACATGTACATCTTGCTGCTTATCTTCATGATCCATATTATATAGAATTCATATAAAAAATTGATTTAAAAATTTTCATTTTCTACATTAAGTGAAAATAGTAATCAATATTCCCTACATTAAATTAAGTATATAGACTAAAAATTCTTCTAGAAGGGCAGAAGCATAATTTCGAAGTAGTTCGAGTGTTTTCTTAACAGTCCGTGATGATTTCTTATCTACTCATCATTGCACAGGTCATGCAGGCATGAAGAACATCGGCTCTTCTGCATTGCACTTTCTGTTAATGAACTTCTTTCGTCTTCAGCGTTGTACTTTTTGACCGTCACTTGTATTAGATATAGTAAATGGAAATAACAAAAAGAAAACCTCAATAGCCATTTAGTAGAAATATTTGGAGAGCAAAACGCTCCCATATACTGTACTTCGAACTGTCTAAGACAGTGTAAAGAAAGAACCTTATGCTTTGCAGGTACCAATCGGAACTTTTGCTCGCAGGTGTCAACAGTGGAATACTTTGCAGAAGCCTCAACCTGAAAGAATTATTGCAAAACGTCAGTTGACATTCTTGCAGTTATCACCAAAAGGAGAATACGTAAAAGGTAAAGCTGAACTAACCTTAACAGGATTCTTCAGACAGGCTCTTTGAAGTTTTCCTACCTGCAGACACGAATTTCCACCAGGTAAACTAGAGAAGCCCCCAGTAGGGGTATGATAATAAGGTTATAAACTCGTTATAATGCATGGGTATTGCACATGTTCGATGCGGAAAAACTTCTATACAATACAATCAATTATGGATTACAAAGAATAAGTGACTCCTAATTTCTTTTCCTTTTTCTAAAAGATAAAGCAATAGATTAATCATTTGTCAAGTTCTGCATGCGGAAAAACATCATGGAATAAATAAGATTTTTTAGAACATTATTTCTATAACGACGTCCATATACCATTTAAACAAGATTTTTTTTGAATAAATAAGATCCCTAGAAGATTAATCATCATGAATATAATTATTAGACAATTGTATGTAAGCAACAATTAAATGAAGATAGCTTCCGTTACCAATAATTAACCCCAAGGAAAATTGAACTTCAGCTCTGTAAGTCTTCAGGTAAAAGTCATGATTAGCAGCTAGGGTTATAAGTACCAGTAAAGCTAAGACTACTAATTACATGGATCCTGCTATAACTCAGTGAAGACAATTGTATGCAAGCAACATTTAAATGAAAATAGCTTCTGTTACCAATAATTAACCCCAGGGAAAATTGAACTGCAGCTCAGTAAGTCTTCAGGTAAAAGTGATGATTAGCAGCTAGGGTTATAAGTACCAGTAAAGCTACGACTACTAATTACACGGATCCTGCTATAACTCAGTGAACAGCTGAAGCAAATATGTGCACAGCTCAAGCAAATATGTGCAGTGGACAATTGGAATCATGCATCAACCATTGTAGAATGGGAAAATCAAATGTATAGCTGTGTGTGCGTGCGCGTGCACGCGCGTGCCTGCCTTCACCTTTAACCGTGTGCATGCGTGTCTTCACCTTTAACCATATAATTGTAAATGCTAAACCACAGCAAATAAGAGAATAACTAGATTGAAATTAATGCCCACCTTTTTAGTCATAGTAGCTGAAAAAAGGAATGTCCGGCGATCTCGAGGTAGAACCTTCAAGATGTCATCAATGACTTTCTCAAACTCCATGCTAAGCAATCTATCCGCTTCATCCAGAACCTGCCATCAGAAAAAATTACAATATATAACAGCTGGATTAATAATAATATACAGCAAGATTTTATTGAAAATACTCATTTGTGACAGAGATGGTAGGATAGTAGTATGGAATATAAACTTATGATTCTGAACAAAGACACCCCCAAATATAATGCGTTGAAACTCCAATGATGGATATTGAGCTCATACCAGAAACTTTAGCATGTTAAGGTTAAAGCCTTTTGTATTTGATAGATGATCGAAAAGACGCCCAGGAGTTGCTACCTACATGAAAAGAAAAACATGTTAAGAGAACTGTATATTCAAATTATTTATGTAAAAAATGACCATGTTTAAAGTGGCACAGTAAATGAATAACTCAAAGACCTTCGATACAAAGATGTTGATTAAAAAAATACATAGTGTCGACAGTTGTACAAGCTCATCTGCAAATCTTCCAATAGCAGGTGAAATAAATGCCATAATAGAACAGGTTTGGTGTCTCATGCCGAGCAACATATAAATTATGAGAAATGATGCACTCTAGCCAAATGTGAATCAAGATGGGCAAGCATAGTTAAAGAATACATCTCATGTCAGCTAAAGTACAAGATTGCACAAGTTTGATATACATAAATCAGAAATATCCACAAAATATGAAGAAAAAAGGTATTCTACAGAAGTATGGCAATGCCACATAGGGAAGAAAATGTAAGAGGCATTTATTATACTCCTTCAAGATATACAGAACATATATAGCAAGAATGGACATGCAAAAAGACAATAAATTTTGATATGTAAGTCTGACAGAATTGCATGAAGTAATACATACCAAAATATGAGGACGTTTTGCGATTGAAATTTGTTGATCCGACATGCTCACACCACCGAAAAGCTGCAAAAGATTTTAACTTTATCAGATAAATTTTCTTAATATAGAAACTTAATGTCAAATATGCGTAAATTAGCTTATATCAAAGTGCAACCCAAGAACACAATGTGCACTAATAATTCATGATTTACTATGTGATAATTAAAAGATTTTATTTTGGGAAAAGGTCAAGATTTTGTCATTAACTTAAGATAGTTGATAGAACATGTATCTGTGTAGAATATACTGAAGCTAAATCAATCACATCCCAACCAAAAATATTTATAATATGTACATCTCTTTCTAAAGCCGTACAATATGTCCAGAATCCCTAAGACGATTCCTAATCTTTAGTTATTTCCATCTATTACTAGTATGAATCGCCTTGACCCATCCAATTTAGAGTCTTCATGCTGATCCAAACACCTCACTCTTCATAAACTATGACATTTTGTTGATCTTGCCATAATAGCTTCACAACTGATATATGAATACTAAAAATACTTCAACAGGTTAAAAATCTTTTTTGAGCCTACAACATTAAAATGCTAAGAATTCATAAACTGGTAAACTGTATTAACAAATCATGAGAAAGATCGCTTCTTGACAACAAAATTGATATCTATAGATAAACCCTAACGCTTACCGCCACAGATTTCAGACCTATCCCAGCCCCTAATGCAGTAAACTCATCAGAAATTTGAAGGGCCAACTCCCTGCAATATTAAAAAATACATGTAAACAACCAAATTCAAACAACACTGCCGCAATTAAAAAAAACTACAAATAATAATTACGACAGACGCAAACCTCGTAGGAGACAATACACAAGCAAAGAAGGGCTGGGGTTTCTCGAGAAGAGCTTGAATAATCGGCAACGCGAAAGCCCCAGTTTTCCCCGACCCAGTCTCCGCCAATCCAATCACATCCCTCCCTAAAATAAAATAAAATAAAATAAATTATAAAAAAAATTTACGATTTTGCACGTGAATCCTAAACCCTAACGGAGGGATTAGAACCTTCGAGGGCATGAGGGATGGCTTCGGCCTGAATCTTCGAAGGGACGACCCAGCCTCTGCTCTCGCAAGCATCGACGAGTTGCTCGCAGACCCCGAGATCTCTAAAGTTTTTAACTTCTTTGGGATTCTCGGCCATTGATTTTCTAGAAGAGTAAAGAGGAAGGGAACTTTGACGGAAAACCGTGTCAGACGACGGCGGCGGG